CTGTAAGGGCCTGGGGGCTTGGGGGGGAATCGAATCAGTGCAAAGGATTCTCATTAGCTGTTAGCGAGTGAAATATAGTTAAAATGAGAAGAAATTAATACCGCTTTATACTTAAGGTCCAAATCATCATGTGCTGCAGGTTTGACTTTGATAAGGTGTTCAGTCTTCGGATTGGAAAACTTTTGAGGATTTTAAGAAATGTGTTTAAAAATGTTTTTATTCATGAATTCACTCCCACATTCTGCATGTGCGTTTAGAAAATAGTACCCGAAAATTCACGTTCAAATAGAAGGAAGTGCAGCTTGAGGCTACAAAATACGCTCTTAAAAGTTATCTTAATTCTGACAATTTGAGGCATTCAAGGACCTAAATGAACATACGGTTTGTCTCCCTAGTACTTCTGAAAAAAAAAAAAAATAGTAGTTTCCTTTTTTCTACTGGTAGCTCTGTTTTGCGAGCTCTGTGACAGCAGACTGCCTGGGATGGCTTCTCTTTCTGTGAAACGTGTAGTGTAGGTAATAGCACATCAAAAGTGTGTTGCCCACGTTCACAATGTGCTGATGCAAACTTGCGCCAGGGAAACCCTTCTTAATTTTATTTTTTTTTTCCCCGCTAAAGGGAAACTTTGTCACAGAAAACTTCTGTCAAGTTAAGTATGTGTGATGTGGAGGGCTCTTGTTTCACAAGTGGTTGAGCAGCTGCTATCGTCACCAAAAGGTGGTGGTCTTTGCTCCTGCTTCTAGCCACATGGTCCTTTATCAGAGGTGCACAGCCAAATGGGCTCAAAGAATACTGACCTGTTTTAACTTGGGTAGAGTTTGTTTAGGGTTTTTTTGACCAAGTTAGTAAGCTAAAGCAGCTCATGGAGCTTTGGACCAGCCTGAGATACGTGGCAGGATTGGATGGCTGGCAGCAGGGTTTGAAAGAGGAGTGAATGTAAATGAAGGGTGGGCATTACCATCACCTTTTGAATTGGTTTTAATATCTCAGGAAGGTAAACATCATTTTAATGCTAGATTGAGGATTGTAAACAGCATAAAACCAGGATAAAAGCATATTTTGGAGTGTCCTGAAGAGCTTGATATACATGAGATAGCATACTAATGTCTAATTTGGATGAAATTTATAATGCTGTGCATTATTTATAATGCTGTGCATTATAAATAATAAATTCTGATTATACATTATCAATAATAATTAAACAGTATAATAATACAAATATAATATTAATACATATAATAATATGATTA